GGCCGGCCCCGGACCCTGCCGAGCGCTGTGGCAGCCGCGGACTGCGGGTCCCTCGGGCCGGTGGAGCGCCTGGCGTTCGCCCCTGCGGCCCGGGCACGGTGGCTGGCCCCTCGCGTGCGCGCGCCGGGGCCCCTGGACTCCCTCTATGGCACCGTGCGCCACTTCCTCTCCGTGGTGCAGCTGAACCCCTTCCCTTCGGGTGAGTGCACCCTTTGCCCGCGCGGACCACGCAGGGCTTGGGACCCCAGCCAAGCTTCTCTGAGCGGCAGGCAGCGTTGTCCATTGCTGTCTTCCTTGGTGGAAGCCCTAGGGGTAGGAGGGTCAGCATCTGGAGAGCGCTCCAGAGCCTCCCGTTGACCTTGGGCAAGGCCCTCCTCCCTGAACCTCCATCTCTGTCCGTGGAGTGAAGGGGGCTGCGTTGGAAGCGCCTTACATTAGACCAGGCTCAGAGGGCCTGAGTGTACTGGGTGCTAGGGCTGGGGGGCAGGGGACCTGGAGGGGCTGCAGGACCCCTCCCAGATCTGCTGCCATTTGAGAGGAGGGGCTGCCGGGCCAGGCTGCAGAGCCTGCTAGGCCTCGGCTGCCGCCTACTGCAGGGCTGAGGTCTACTCAGGACCCTAGAGGCCGCTCCCACTCTGCCTTCTCCAAGGGTGTCATGTGGTGGAGGAGAGCCTCCCCAGAGCACACCTCCGGTGGGCAGGGAGGAAGGGGTGGCCGCAGGGTCAAGGCAGTGGCTGCCCTCAACCCCTGGCACGGCTCTTTCCGGTAGACTTGGTAAAGGCCCTGCTGAATGAGCCGGCCTCGGTGAAAGTGGATGAGGTGAGAACCCCGGAGATGGAGGGGGAGGTGGGGGGGCTCAGGACTGAGAGGAAGGGGCAGGAGGAGGGAAACCTCCCTCTGCTCAGCTCAGCCCTCCTCCCCGGGTGCCCGCCAAGGTGGGGGCCTGGGCATCCCTTCCCCTCCTCCATGCAGAAAGGCCTTGGGTGTAAACCACAGCCTTGCACTCACTGGCAGTGGGGTTTGCAGTGAGCCCAACTCCCAGCCCCATGGCCCTCACTGGTGAACTGACAGTGAGCAGCAAGGACACCACACACCCCTGCAGCATCCCTGCAGCGGCTCCCTGAGCTGGGGCCAACCCCAGTTCCACCCTTGCTCCTCCTGGCTTCCCTCTGGGTCTGGCAGGAGGCGGGCAGGGGTGCCTGAGGACAGCCCCTCGTGCCTTGCTGCCCTGCAGGTGGTGCGGTACGAGGCGGGCTACGTGGTGTGCGCCGTGATCGCAGGCCTCTACCTCCTGGCGGTGCCCACCACTGGCCTCTGCTTCTGTTGTTGCCGCTGCCGCCAGCGCTGTGGGGGCCGAGTGAAGACGGAGCACAAGGCCTTGGCCTGTGAGCGCGGCGCCCTCATGGCCTTCCTGCTGTTGACCACCCTCGTGCTGCTGTGAGGGACTGCCTGAGGCAGGTGGGAGGGGCAGGCCGTGCCAGGCTTCTGGGACACCCAGCAAGCCCTCTCCTCCTTGCCTCCATCCCCGCAGGATTGGCATGGTCTGTGCTTTTGTCACCAACCAGCGCGTACACGAGCACACGGGCCCCAGTGTGGAAGCTGTGCCCGAGACCTTGCTCAGCCTACGGGGCCTGGTCTCTGATGTCCCCCAGGTGACCAGGCCTAGGGGGACAGAGAGGCTGGGTCTTCTGTAGCCCACAACCTGCACGTGGGAAAGGGTGCCCCTTGGCATGCTGCAATATGTCTCTGTACCCCTCATAGGGAGGGAAGGGGCTGGGGAGGGGCTGGGCTGGGCTGCTGGCTGGAAGGGCAGCCTCACCCCTGTGTTTGCCCAGGAGCTGCAGGCTGTGGCACAGCAGTTCTCCCGTCCCCAGGAGCGTGTCCAGGAAGAGCTGGATGGTGAGGGTCGAGCAGGCAGGAGGCTGCTCTGGGGGAGGGAGGGGGCCCTCTCACTCCCTCCTCGCAGACTCTAGCTGGGAACACCCTTGAGGAGGGGGCATTGGGCCTGGATGGAGAGCCATGATAGCAGCCCCCTGCTGCAGGATGGAGAAACTGGCACCCACTCTGCAGAGCCCAGTGTCGGGGCCTAGGGAGGCAGGATGGAGGGCTGGTGAGGGCCCTGAGGTCCTGGGGGCCAGCCCTGCCACTGCTTGGTGCTTGCAGGTGTTGGCATGAGCATCGGGAGCGCAATCCACACCCAGCTCAGGAGCACAGTGTACCTGGCGCTAGCTTCAGTGAGCAGCCTGGGCCAGGGTGAGCTGGGCAAGCCCCGTGAGGGTATGGGTATGCGTCCTTCTGGGCCAGGCCATCCTCCCCGCTCCACTAGTACCTTCTCGGCAACTCGTCCTTCTCGGCAACTCGTCCTAGGATTTCCCTCTGACGTTCCTGCCCACATCCTGGCCTTGCATGTCCTAGGGCCATTTCCACTGCTGATGCAGAGGCTAAAGACTGCTGGTCCCCTTAGCTGGGGCCAGGGCTGGGTGTTCTGCTTCCTGCGAGGCCCCTGAGGATGTCAGGGCCAGGACAACTGCTCAAGACAGATGTGGGTCTCAGCCCTGCAGGTCTCCATGGACCACCTCAGAGCCCTGAATGCCACCTCCGTGGAGCTGCAGGTGGCACAGCGGGACCTGGAGCCAGCTGTTCGGGACCATAGGGACCGGCTCCTCGCCCTACTGCAGGAGCCCGGGTGTCAAGGGGACTGTGCAGGCTCCCTGAGCCGGGCCCGCGCCCTGGAGTTGGATGCTGACTTCAGTCAGGTGCGAGCCCAGGAGAGAGGCCTCTCGGAGCTAGGAAGGGTGGCTCTGCCTGCTGTCTGGGGAGGGTACCCGAGTATCTGGGGCACCCCCAGTCCCTGTCCTCAGGAAGCTCCTCCCTTTCTCCCCACTCAGGATGAAGTGCATTCCTCCTAGAGGTGGCTCAGGGGCTCTCCTTGGGCCACGCGCTGTCCCACAAGCCTCACCTCACTCTGAGCTCTCACTGCCCCAGGGTGGCAGAGGCCATGGCAGTCCCCACTATCCAAAGAATGCTGAGGGTTCAGAGGCACCTGCCCCACCCTCCCCCAGGAGGCCCTCTTAGGCCTCTCCGTGGCTTCGTGGGCTTCATCTTAACCTCTCCTCACCCGTTTCAGGTGCCCACTGTGGACGATGTCCTGCATCGGCTGAAGGGTGTCCCTGAGGCCAACTTCTCCAGCATGGTCCAGGAGGTGAGTGCCTGCCAGGCTACCCCACTCCGCCCTCTCCTGCTTGGGAGCTCACAAGGACCCTCGGTGTCCCCTTTGGAGACAGAGAACCTACGGCATGAGCAGGGCTAGAGGCCGATGACGCCCGCCCTCGGCATCACTGTCTAGGCGAGGCAGGCCTGGGCTGCAAAGGGAGTGCGAGGCCCCTTGATGGGTGGGGCTGGGAGTGGCAAGGCAGGCACTGCCCA